AAAATTCCTGATGCCCAGACTGCACCCTAGATCAAGTTAATGAGAGTCCTGGTGGATAGGATCTGGCATCAGTATTTTTTACAGGTCCCAGATGAATACAATATTCAGCCAAGATTGAGAAATAGAAGGGAAAAAAGGTCTAGAGAAAGCAGCTCCTTCCACGTGTCTAAAATCTGCCTTTTTTTCTATTGCCTTAGGTCATTCTGGCCTTTGGTTCTCCTACCCCACAGGCTGTGGAGAGAGCTTCTACACCTCAGCCATAGGAAAAGGGCCGTCTGATCTGGACTAATGCAGAGATGACAGTAACATTGAAATGGTCAGTTTAGGGCCGGAGAGATGGCCCCGTGGTGAAGAACCTGTACTGCTCTTGCAGAGGACCTGGGTTTGATTCCTAGCACCCTCATCAGGCGGCTTACAACCCTCCCATAACACTGGGTTCATGGGACCTCACCCCTGAGTCCTCCACTGGGCATCTCTGCAGTAGCACGCACATACCCACACAGACACACACACTAAATAATCAAAGCTAAAAAAAAAACTAAGCATTAAAACCTGGTCGTTTTAAGTGAGGTAATATTAAGAGAGCATGTTTGTGTTAATGAAGTTTCTAGCATTTAGTAAGTTTCAGTTACTTGCTGTAACTAAATATGGAAAAAACAACTTAAAACTGAGTTTTCATAGAGTAGCTAACATTTCTAAATCTGCCCCTCAGCAATTTATACATCCCTCATATTTGAAAGACTTGAGATTCCTTTAATAAGGAATCCCAGTTGCCAGTTCTAGAAGATTCCAGCTTGTCAATCATTTCTAGGATTTTGTTTTGCGCATGTGCACCACAGAACTCCATAGCTTTTTGTGGATAAGGTCTTTATCCTAAAAGGTAGGTGTTGCGTTTATAATTTTGATTCTTTATTCTGATGGTATGGGTTGCTCTTCTAGAGCAGTTACTGAGAACTCTATGGGACCCGAGCATGTTTGCACTCTCGGCGTTCTGAGATGTTGTGGACTGGGAGGCCCTATAGAGACTAACACAGACAGGAACCCATCCAAGGAATTGTTGACAATTGAGTTGCTGAAGGTTCTGTGGCCAAAGTCAAATCCAACAATGCTGTGTTTATTTGTGTTCCGCCAATTGTGAGGCCACATCCCATCACAGCCTACCAGTCCAAGAGCGAATGTTGCCAAGCCATTGGCCAACTTTCAGAACAAATAACCCTTTCTTACTTTGTGACTAACAGTGCTCAAAAAGGCAGATGGGATTCCTCCTGGATCAGAGGCTTCTGGTCATCAAGGAGTTCTCCAGAGGAACGGATGGTATTAACTATTGTTGCGAACACAATATTTTAGTGACTAAAGACAAGCAAAGCAGGAAACTGATCGTCAGGGGCTGGGTCCTCTGGCCCACATCTGTCTCTCGGAGCAGTTGTCAGGCACCCAGCTCACTGCTGCCATCTCTCACTCAGCACCTCAACTCCCAGCTGGGTTATTTTTGTCAGGTGTGGAGTGATTGCCTCTGTCTGCTGAGGAGCTGTCTGCTCCAATCATTATCTAGACCTAGCGCTGGCCTTGCCTCCAAGAGGACGGTTCTGACAACAGAAGCGCTGGAAGCATTGACCATTCACTCCCTGTCCCTCCACGATACTACTTACCAACGTTCCCCTGCTGCGAGGGCTTCTGCGTCTATTCTTCTTGTTAAGGTCCAGTTCCGTCATTTCGAAACCTACTGTAGAGCTGAATGAGGGGCCACCAGAGAGAACAGAGAGGAGATCCGTGACCCCTCCCCATCCCACCCCCCTCGCACTGCCCTAAGGGGTTCAAACAGTGGTCTCCTCCTCCTGAATTCCAAAATCCATAAATTCATCCTTGGTGAACTGTCCGGAGGGGTTGGGATTCTTTGTTTTCTTTCTTTGTTTTTTACTATACAGTTTACTTATTCTGATCTAAACTTGATATTTTCTGCAAAATATTCTAACATGGGGGAAGACTGAAACAAAGGCTCCAAACACCACTGAAGTGATGTTTCAATTCCCCTGAAGAGCTGAGGTGCGGCACGTGACCTGACACCAGCCCCACCTGCCTGCTTTTGGCACACCTATCCCAGTCCCACTCCTTAAGGAAGCAAGGGTGCCGTACCCAGGTCTTTTGCCTCTTCCCGAAGTGCCGGTCCATATCTATCAATGTCTTATAAAGCATATTCCCTGGAGGAAAATATGTGGTTCAGTGGGTAACAGGCGTGCTTAGCATGTGTAGGACCCCAGGGTGCCATGCTTCGCTGGGGAAGCAAGCAGCCTGCCAAGTCTTATTCATATCCTCGGGTCATGTTTCCTTTCACTCAAACAAAAGCCATGAGAGTGGCTAACGGAAAACCAATGCCATTATAAAGGGCCCCCAAAGACGCTCAAGGACCTGCATAGAAATGGAAGGCACCAGAGCATGGGAAGGAAATCTGAGCTTTAATCCTGAGCTTTATTCCTTTCTGAATTCTGCTGACTTGAATCCAGTTACTTTGAACTGTCATTCTGATGAGAGCAGGAGGGGAACCTCCTGGTTGGATCTTTGAGCTGATTCTGAGGACTGTGAACCCATCACCAGCTTTTGTGATTGCATTTCGCCTGCCTCCTCTTGGGCTGATGTAAACAAGCCCAGCTGCCCACACTCCTTGTACCTGGATTCTCTATCTTCAACCTCACAGGTGCCCTGCTTGTGTTCATGCTTAAAATGAGCAAGGCTGCCTCAACCAGCAAGTGATGCTTATCAGAATTTTCTCTGAATAAATTATTTTCCTTTATTCTTCTATCTCTTGGGATTTCTTACACACAAAAATGCCTTGACATCTGTCTAACTTTGGAGAAACCTTACCTGTCCATTTCAGTAGGATGGCAGGGCCATGGCAACCACTTTATAGTTTAGTTAAATGGTTCTGGTGAGGTTTTCTCTTTCTAGGAGATTTCACTATCTTAAGAAAGTATGTAAATTTAGACTATTAGAAAGCTTGTAAGTGAAAGTCATTTGCATAAACTCTATCAGTCTCTTTGAGTAGAGAGGTACTGTGATGTGGGGCGAGACTTTTGTCTATCTTATTACTCTAGAATCAGTGTTTGGGGAAAGGGGAGAGCCAAATGGGCTTTAGGGCTACTCAAGGGTAACCAGGCTTCAAAACATAAAATGATTTTACCACTTTGCAAGTATGTACAAATATTTGAAATTCATGAATTCAAGGAATTTAACAAAACAAAATAAAAATCACATATATGTATGCATTCCAATTATAACTGCTTTAATCTCAAATAATTGTACATACTCATTTTTTCACTGAATTTTATCTTCCATTATTTTTTATCTTTCGCATGAGTTAGCAAAAAGCACCCAAAGGAATTAGTCCTTAAGTAGAAAAAGCCTACAGTCCAGCTATATAACCTTATTATGAAGTTTGAAATTAGCCCTAGCTGCATGACTTATCGTGGAGAGATAGCAGACACCTTTAGCTCCTTCTTTGGGTGACAGTTGTGGAAAGGGATGGTTAGGCTTCTTTGCACTGTACAGTACAGTCCCTGATTTAGAACACAGTAGACTGTGACAATGAGAAAGGGTTTTGAAAACTGCATCCATGTTTCCGGGTTGAAGGATGGAAAAACTAAGAACTTGTCCCCAGAGTCATTTACAGACGGAACAGAACACGTGCTGCTGTAACTGCCGCTTAGATTCTGACCTTCCCCCAGACTCTGTCACCTATGGGAAAGCTCACTGGTTTTCAAATAAAATGAAAAAGCCAAATTCATTGCTATTTGAATTTCATTGAAAGAAGCAGCTATCAATTTGTTAAGCTGAATTCCATAGCACTTGTCTCCCAGAGCTGGCAGGTTCCTTTACACACGATTTCCATCAGCCATAGCTTAAATGGAAGTCCGTCATTTTCATATTGGAAACAGAGTCACCAAACTCTTGCCTACTGGTCAATGAGGTTAGATCTCAAAGACTATTTAGAGAAGAGATAAGGAAAGGTTGGAGTGACCCTGTCACAGACACTCAGCTACACTGTTAACCTCCATGCATCCTTTTTCATCGACGCCACCACACATATTACCAAACACACAGAGTCAACGCTGTCCACTTACTAGTAATGCTGGCAAACCTATTTCCACTTGTGAGTTTTAAATGCTTAAGGCGAACGTTGAGTGTGCGCTCTGCTGAATTTAACGCCACTGAAATTAGTTACTAGCTGTAATCACTAGATGAAAATGCAAGCCCTGACATTCTAAGGAGAAAGGGTAGCTGGGGCTTGAGGGGAGAGTGGGGTGCTCCAGCTGAAAGGCTTGGACATAATTTCTCTCTAACTCACTTCTGCTTCCTCACAGTTATGTTCCTCATAAAGCAACATAGAAGTTCCACGGCAGAGACCCATGGAAAAATCTGTCATCTGTTGGGTAGGGGACCAAAGAATCTAATACAAGCTCATTAGACTAAGAATGGTTGAAGGCACTGCAAACCCCCTTCGGTGTTAGAAACACACAGCTGTGGATGCTCAGAAAGTAGATTCTGAACCGGTTTGCACCATGACAAAGTCCTTTCAAAGGCAACACAACTTATAAAGGCAGATCCCGTCTCTGTTCCTCAGACTCGGGGCTGGTAGTTTGGTGAACCCCTACTGAGAGCTGTATGCAAACCTCTACGGAGTTTGCTAGGCAAACAACACATGTCAGCCTGAGAACTGTCTGCGAAACGTTTTCTTACTAAAGAGCGTTTTGGATTTAGGCCACAGTGTAAGGATTTCCCACTGCCTTGTGCTGTCATTGCCAGCCTTAAGATGAGTGCATTTGCCCTGTTCTCACGGACACTTTAGAGACTTGTTGCAGAAACCCCAATGGAGAGAAATTAGGAGTTGGTCCTGCATTGCCCTGCCCCCCTCCCCGCCCCAGAAGAAAGGAGAACATGCCACCGAAAGGTGAGCCTTAAACAAAACAGAAAGCTCTCACCAGGGCTGTAATAAAGACGTCACTTACTGTAACTGTTCTTCATCTCCTGGGTCCCCTTCACTTTGCCTCGCTTGTCAATCCTCAGATACCACTGTGTGCGACAGAACAGTCTCCTCACCCTTATATCCCCTCCTTCCATGTAATCATAACTCCGTGTGTGTCGCTCGGGGCTCGAACAGTTGCCATTCGTGGCCGTTTGCTCTGGAGTCATGTCATTGCATGCTAAAGACATAGTGCCCACTAGACAGACAAGGTGGAGGCAGGACCTGTAGAGCAGAGGTGGCAGGATCCATGTCAGTATCCATTTGCGCATTATAGTGTAGTGCTCCGGGTGTTCATGAATAACATAATGAGAACCGAATCCTGGGCTGACTGCCACTCCTAGGTCATGGGCCTCCTCCTGTCTGTGCACTGGAGATTGCTTTGAGAAAAGGTGGTCGCTCTTTCCAGACTCTTAAGTTTATCTCTTAGCTTCGGATACCAATAGCAGGATTCCTCCTTCAGTAACACAGTTGAGAGATGAATCCTTATACACACAGCTTTTGCAGCAAGGCCAGTTGCTGTACTGCCGTGTGCTCCTTGACTTCTGTTCACAATGAGAGATAAAGAATGGGGAGGGGTGGGGAGGAGAGAGGAAGAGAAAAGTTGGTTGTATCAATTTCAGTGGGTAAGTAGTATAACACACAGTGTAGTTAAGCATCGAAGGCACGCTTAAAACACCTTCCACAGAGCATATTAGCATCTTTGCCACTCTGCATGCAAATTGAGACGAGCCAGGCATTAAGGGAGAGCCATCACAATAAAACCGCACCATTCATTCCGGTTGCTGTCTTGCTAAGAGCTCCCTGTACTTAGAGCTATTGACTCAAATTGAGTTTTATAGCCACTATCAGTGGAGGAGAAACGCTGTCCCTGGATTTCATTAGCATATGCTTTTACATTTGTGCTTAATAATTATTTCCCCCTAAACTGCCCATATTTTTCAAGTTAAGTGTCGGGATTGCTCTGGAGAGCTTCCAGCTTCTCTTTCCATACATACTCCAGCACATTTCTGCAGATATTTACGGTTCAAACGACTTTTCCCCCCGCAGTACCGTAACCACAGAAAGAGAAAACCTTTCAGAAAAGAGTCAGCGTTTCTGTAAAGACAAATAACAGTAACTTACTTGTTCTGTTTAGAACAGCTGGGTACACAAGAGGTCCGAGTCTGCTGCCTGCCTCGTGCAACTTGAGCCTCTCTGCTGTAGCTACAAACTATTTCTCAGCTGAGAAATCCTCCAGCAGAATCATAATTGTTTCCATAAATCAACAGGCAAAAGGGTTTTCTCCGTGTGTGAGCGCGTGCGCTTGTGTGTGTGCGTGGAGCCTTTTATTCAGAGATTTTCAATAAATACCTTTGCTGACCTCATTGGAAGCAATTAAAACTTAACCAGTGAGCTGTTTGGTGGATGAAACAGCAGGGCTAGAAGGAGGCTTGTGTAATGTTGAGTGGTCATAAGGGGGAGCTATGAACACGGCTTATGTTTAAATCTACTAGTGGGCATCGGCTCTGTGGAGCCAGCCCTCTGATTCTCAAGCAGTTACAAGAAAGGGAAATAACGTTAGATCTTTAAAACACAGCCGCTGCTCAGACCTTGGAAACATTTCCAAGAGCATGTATACAGGCTTTTAAATAGTTAGACGATCTTTATGTTATTTTTTTAGTATTATTCTCTCATATATTACATCCAGACTGCAATTGCCTCTCCCTCCCCTCCCCCCCACTCTCTCCACCCATCTCCCTGTCCCTCAGATCCGTGCTCCCTCCATCTCCCCTCCGAAAAGAACAGGCCTCCCGGGGACATCGGCCAAACACGGCATAACATACTACAATAAGACCAGGTACATACTATCACATCAAGGCTGGACAAGACGACCCAGTAGGAGGAAAAGGGTCCCATAAGTAGACAAAAGAGCCAGAGCCCTCGCTCCCTCCCACTGTTAGGAGACCCACAAGAACACCAACATACTTAGCCATAACATATCTGCAGGGAACCCATATAGGCATACGGGGACCCACACAGGCTCCCTGACCTTACATGGCTTTTTGTTGTTGTTTTTTAATGGGGGGGGGGTGTTTGGTTGGTTGATTTGATTTTTTGCAAGTACAATACAGGGGCTAGTCCACCACTCAGGATCTGAAAGCAGGTATTCCTAAGCAAGCAAGAACATATCTTTTCCCAGGTATTACACCATTGTGTGTAAGTCTTTAGGCTGAGGAGATCTAGCTTCCTATTGGATGGTGATTCTAACAGTGTGCCCTTGGACCAGTCACTGGACTTCCCCATGGCTCAGCTGCTGCTTCGGGTATCAAATCAATGACCATGTCTCATGGGGCCAATGCTGCTCTGTCACTGTAACATCCTGCGTCTTGAGATTTATTTATACTGATGGCTCACGGAAGCAAAGGGACACATGATTGGTAAAACTATTATTCTTTTAGGAAAATGGTTTTGCCTTGGTGTTTGACTTATGCCCCCTTGAGAACAATAGCATAATAAATAACTGATAAACCCTGAACAGAGTTATAAGGTCATTAACTAATGGACGTAAGAGGGCCCTTTTGCTCTCCAAAATGAGTTCCGGCCTATCCTTTACTGAGCAAGCCTGTATTTTATATTTGTATTAAGCCATTGTATTATCAGTCCAAATGAGAATTTAAGTACTAAAATTCTCTTTTCCACGTACCCCCAACCACACACACACACACACACACACACACACACACACACAACTTCGCACTTAACATACACTACCACCAGGTGGTGCAGGTAGACCAAACAGAGACGGAGAACTAAATTTAATCAATGGAGTGAGTCTGCGTCCCTTTATGATGGTGCTTGTGGGGAGGGAGTCAAGAGCGCAGCATATTTTAAACATACCCAGTTGTCCTTGATTTGCAAAATATTGAAGCACTGGGTCTTTAAAGCGGAGGAGGGCACACTGTTCTATAACCGCATCTATTGACAACTAGAGGGCTCAGAGCATCTCAACGTGTCTTGCCCAAGGGAAGGGAAGGGAAGGATGCTGTTCTTGTCTTTTTAGCAATGTCCCATAGTCTGGGGGCGGGGGCCTAACAAGGAACAGCTTCCGAATTCCTAAGAGCTAGCATTCCCTTTAGAGCAATGAAGGCTACGCAGTCAGTTCTTAATGCACACTGCAGAACGTGCAACCTCTCCGTAAAACGTGCTGCAGAGGAGCACCTGCAATCGTGTTGAAGATAAGTTATAAAATGATCTGAGTCATGTCACTGAGCAGGTTAGTACCAGGCAGGGAAGTGTATCAGTGGTTTAAATTCCTTTAGAAGTTATTGATTCATTTCCTTATTAGAGAATAATCAATTCAAGATGGGCCCACGATGGGGCAAGGAATTTCCCTCTCGTCCTCTCTAGTCTTACTTGTTGAAAATGGTTTTCAATGAGCAGGCAGTCTGGTTATGTCTAGGTGGGCTGCTCTCATTGTCTTTGAGTTACCCGATGGCAGCCATATTCTGTTTCTTCTGTCATGCTCACACACCCACGGAGAAGCTCTGAGGGCTCTGGAAACTTTCTGTTCGTCACCATTCCCAGACAGAGGTAGCTTCATCCTTAGCTGGAAATTTCTCCATCTTGTGCATTTTAAATCTGTGAAAAAAAAAAAAGATCTGCATCTGAAAACAGGTGGTGGTGGTGCACACCTTTAATCCCAGCACTTGGGGGGCTGAGGCAGGCAGATCTCTGTGAGTTCAAGGTCAGCCTGGTCTACAAGAGCTGGTTCCAATCCAATGCAGTGAGGGCTGCTACCCAGAGAAATCCTGTCTCAGAGAAAGAAGAAAGAAAGAAAGAAAGAAAGAAAGAAAGAAAGAAAGAAAGAAAGAAAGAAAGAAAGAAAGAAAGAGGGAGGGAGGGAGGGAGGGAGGGAGGGAGGGAGGGAGGGAGGGAGGGAGGGAGGGAGGGAAGAAAAAAAGATCTGCATCTTTTCTTCAAATACTGACGTTTAAGACGTCCTTAGAGGTGAATGTCAGCACCTGGAAAGCCTCCCACAGAAGTGGTATCTCATACTTGCCCCATGTGCTTTGGGAATAAAATACATTCGGAAATACAGAGAGCTTCTTTCATGGGATCAATGGCCGCATGGACCACCTTCCGCTTCCTGAGCAGTCTTTGTTGCGATCCTCATTCTGGGGACGGGTAAACAGTAGAAACTCTGGCTTGTGGAATCTTATGTTCCAGTTTTCAGTTTCTTCACGTTTATACACACAAGCTATATGCATGTATACAGGTGGTCTTCACTTTATACCCCAGCCCCTTCAACATACAAAGTGTCATGACACACAGACATTGTTTTACATGATGCTTTTATTTTCACTTAGTAAAAATACAAAATTTCCCATCTCGAGATTTAGAAAGCTTGCTTGTTTTCTAGAGTCGCCTGCTTGTCATTGGATGAGTATATCGCAATGTATCCAACCAACCTCCGTGAACATTTACCTTTCATCCATATATTTTACTGTAGAAATATTATAACAAATGCAGTTATATATACGCTATCTTATGGCACACAAATATAGCTGTAGGGTCGGTTCCCAAAAGCAGTCGATACATCTGTCTTCCGGTCCCAGGTAGGAAAGGGACTCTTGAAATTGGGACTCTTGATTAATTCTTATAAAATGACTGTGTATGTTGTGCCGTACCTCTGACACTAGTTCCAAACTCTGTCCCCTCCGTGTTCCTACAGCTGACCCCATACTAGGGATTTGTCGTCACCATTTCCTGTGTGGTTTCAATGCATAAATCCAGCCTTGACTCTGGATCGTACTGTGCAACCAGCCTTACTTATCATCTTGATTCATCCATTGGAACAAATATTTATTCACTAGTTCTGTGCTGCCAGATGCTGGGTCTTCCCTCTGAAGGCACAATGGTGAGTCTTTTGGAAGTGATCCCTGCCCTTCCAGAGTGTGCATTCCAGCGAGAGGACAGCATAAACAAAGGGATCTGGGGATGGTACGGGGCAGGGAAACCAAGATCTTACATTCCGTGAACCAAAGGAAGGGCCATGCTACTGCTCACAAGCGAGAGCCCGAGCAGAAAGAGCAGTGTGAAGCTGCACCGGCAACCATGGACTTGATATTGGAAGCCGTGTACCCTGCAGAAGGAACTTGGGCTCATTTGAAAAGAATGGAACACAAGAAGACAGACCTATCTTTCATCCATCAGACAAACATGACGGACCTGGTCAAAGACAGTAATTTAAACTCAGAAGAAAAGCCATGATGGAGCAATCCTGAGGTCCTTGACCATATAAACAGCTCGCATGCCTTTGGCATGATGCCGTAACATTTAAACACTAATTGCACATAAGATGCAAATCATGAGTCATGCGTTCAGCGTTGCGGTGTGCCCGTGACTCAACTAATAAATATCTCGGTTTACAAATGCCATTTGAGTCTTTGTATCCCCGAGTCTATAACAAAATTGCTTCGTTTAACTTTGTATTTATAAAAACTCTCTGAAATGCTAGTCCAAATTTAAAATTCTTCAAATTCTCAGTAGTCCTCATTGTCTGCTATGTTCAGCGAGACCGGTTTTATCCCAGGCTTTTTCAGACCCAGGCCAGCTGGCCTTGGTGAGTTCCCGATAGAACATCCCCATTGTCTCAGTGTGTGGGTGCACCCCTCGCAGTCCTGAGTTCCTTGCTCATGCTCTCTCTCCTTCTGCTCCTGATTCGGACCTTGAACAATGGCAATGGGTTTTTGATCCTACTGCACGTATTGGCTTTGTGGGAGCCTAGGCAGTTTGGATGCTCACCTTACTAGACCTGGATGGAGGTGGGTGGTCCTTGGACTTCCCACAGGGCAGGGAACCCTGATTGCTCTTTGGGCTGACG